CTTCGATATGCAAATCTTTATTTAGAACCATAGCATTCATTTAACTAAAATTTTCACAAACACAGATACATTTTCTACTCCGGGAAGAGGAAACCAAACTCCCATATTTATATTTGATTGGTTTCTACATATTTAATAAATCAAGATAATCGTCTACTCGGAATAAAACAGGTTTTGTTTTTTTGTTTTGTTTTTGTCCATAAAAAAAACAATAACGCCACCCCTCTCTAGTTCATCTGGCACCCGATAGGTGGCATACCTGTCTTTTTTCAACAATCTTAGTTTGGGAGAAAGAAACTAAGAGATTTAGAGAGAAATAACTAGATAAACAAGGAGTCCAGATTCATATTCAAACAAAAAAATACTCTATTAGTTACAATAGATGGTTACATATTACAATAATACTGAATGAACAGAAACAATATCAGGTACATGAGTAGGTGTTATGAAATAGAGACAGAGGCAAAGACGGAAGAAAGAGAGAGTTACGGAGAGAAAGAGAGACAGAGAAGAAGAGAAACAGAGGTAGTGAGAGAGGAGGAGAAGGGAAATAGGGCAGAAAGAAAAATAGTAAGTAAGACAGCGAGAGAGAGAAAGAGAGAAGAAGGGGAAGAGAAAGAAAAGGGGCAGCGTAAGAGAGAGGGAGAGAAAGAAGAAAAGACAGAGGGAGAGATGGAATAGGGAAGAAAGATGGCGAGAGAAAGAAAAAGAGACAAAGAGAGCGAGGACAGTCGACCCAGGTGCTGCATGATTCTGCATGATATGAAATATGTTGCCAGAATTACACCTATAAGCATAATATAGTATACTGAGAGTTATAAAGATAACAGGAGTAAATATTCGGTGTCTTTATCATACTATTCTCTACAAATGCATTCTTGTCAGTACATTTTCTTTCATGAAAAAAACAAAAGCAATACAAAATACGGATCTCAATATCAGTTTCCAAGAAAAGCAAACAAAAAATATATATATTGATTATGTTCTAAGAATGAAAAAAATGGACGAAAAAGGATGATTTCGATCGATATATCGTTTAGTCATCCCGATGGAAAACATAACATTTTGAAACGAGTGCGTTCGAATAAGAACAGAAAAGCGCATTCACAAACAAAGAAAATGTAGATTTTATTGAATTTGAGATCAAGACGGTGTTGTCTTGAGTTAAATTACTGTTGAGACATGGTCACTGACTAGAAATAAGACAAATGACAAACCAATAAGGATTGGTTTATCTAGGATTTCTGTTAGCAATCCTAATGAACATTGGGCATCCTAGAATGCAGCGCATTACCTTATTTTGATTTTTTTTCTAGGGTATCTGGCACTGTCTTGTAGAGTTGACTAAGAGCTGGAGATAGGTATTCAGCTGTATAGATACTCCTGGCCACGGGAATGGAGACCTTGCTTATCAAGCTGCAGAGACAAAAAAAAAATCCTGACGGGTCCTAGACACATACCCGAAACGAGACGTCACTGCTGACATCTTGACCTCAGCAAGATTCCGATCCAGACTGAATGCACGGTTTACCTCAGCCAGCCATCGAAGCTTTATGTCCACACCAGGGTTATCTCGAAATACAAGTTTGATATACTCTGCTCACGAAGCAAATGCTGGAAAAGCGGTAGGCGCATGTGATATGTTATGACGCGGCAGAGGACGGGGGTCGAGGGTCACATCATGAGTATCATAAGGCGGCGGAGAACCCTTGCGTCTGGTTGTTTTGGCAGAGGGCGACAAAAGGTTCGCTGTAAGTGTCCGAAGGGGAGTCCATTGGTCCATTCGCTTACTGGGAGTGTGGGGTCGGCCTCGTGTCTGTCTCCCCAGCCTGAGGTGGTAACGACGGCCAGTCTTCCTGGCGCATATCATCCTCTCGGCTCAGCGAGGGAAGCAAGTCCTGTGTAATCCATAATATCTGCCTAGACTAGGGCACAAGATCAGCACATGATATCACCAATACGTCGCTGCGCATGCGCAATGGGGAGGAGCTTGAACACAGAACCTTATTTTCCCATACTTTTACAAAGAGAGAGAGAGAGAGAGAGAGAGAGAGAGAGAGAGAGAGAGAGAGAGAGAGAGAGAGAGAGAGAGAGAGAGAGAGAGAGTTCCACAGCCAACTCTATACGAAAACCGAGGCTCCGAAATATTAACAGTTAATGCGTTGCGCCCTTGAGTGTGCGTGTGAATCTTTTCTTTCTTTCCATTTTGTGCACTGTCTGTGTTTCCAACGGGTATGCAAACAAAAGTCATTCAATCAGAAAAAAATTAAAGCTTAATCACCTACTTTCACATTCTTTTTAGAATTGCTAATACACTAATCTCAAACGCCTGTACGAGAATTTTTGTTCTTATCTGCACCTGATTCAAACCTTATCTCCTGCATTGGGGTATTTATTGCAGAGTATGGTGTAGTGCCACGTATGCTGCACTAGAGGAATACACAGGCATCATGTGGCATCTGGTACCTATGCTTTTGGCACTGTCATTGTATGGTGAGTGGTTTGGTCCGTCGTTTGGTTTAGTCGTGTGTGTGTGCGAGTGTGTGTGTGTGTGTGCGCGCGCGTTGGTGTGTGTGTGCGAGTGTGTGTGTGTGTGTGTGTGTGTGTGTGAGCGTGTGTGTGTGTGTGTGAGCGTGTGTGTGTGTGTGTGTGTGTGTGTGTGTGTGTGTGTGTGTGTGTGTGTGTATGTGTGTGTGTGTGAGTCCGTGCGTGTGTGTGTGTCTGTGCGTGTGTGTAAACCTTCATTTTTATATCACCGATCTGCGTTTGAACATTGCAACTGTGAAGGGCAGAACCTCGGCAATTGCGCATGCGTGTCTCCCAGTGTGTCTGTTCACTGGAAATACAACTTCTAATAATATCTTCCTATCTAATGTCTATCTAAATAAATTCTTGAAACTTTTTTTTATAGAGACTTGGGGATATTCTACGCAGGACCAAGTAGGCGGTAAGTTGTATCTGAGCTTGCGACCTCCTCTGTATCTTTCATTGGTGTCTTCATTTCCATAGTTATTGATGGTATCTTCTCTGTCTTCGTCAAGAATGAATATTTAAGATTAGTGTCTGTTTCTGTGTATTCTGTTTCTATGGTATATGCTCTACATTTAGCAATGTATTTCTCACTTTCTCACTCTCTCTTGCTCTCTCTCTCTCTCTCTCTCTCTCTCTCTCTCTCTCTCTCTCTCTCTCTCTCTCTCTCTCTCTCTCTCTCTCTCTCTCTCCCTCTCTCCCTCTCCCTCTCTCTCTCTCTCTCTCTCTCTCTCTCTCTCTCTCTCTCTCTCTCTCTCTCTCTCTCTCTCTCTCTCTCTCTCTCTCTCTCTCTCCCTCTCTCCCTCTCTCTCTCTCCCTCTCTCTCTCCCTCTCTCTCTCTCTCTCTCTCTCTCTCTCTCTCTCTCTCTCTCTCTCTCTCTCTCTCTCTCTCTCTCTCTCTCTCTCTCTCTCTCTCTCTCTCTCTTTTTTTCTCTCTCTCTTTCTCTCTCTCTCATCGACATTCATCAAGAAATTAGACAAAAAATGTAAGTTTAGAACACTAATTCAGAAACCCAGCAAGCAACCGAACATCATACCAAAAATTATAATAATAAATAAATAGATAAACAAATGAATGAATGAATGAATAAAGGCACACAGAAAAAAAAAAACGTTAAAGCTTCCATCGAATATCCAAAGGCCAGAACTCCACCAACAGAATTATCCGTGCGAAGGATCGTAAACATCGAAGCACAGGGAGTGTCCCCGTGCATCACGCTCCCCGACGGCAGCGCCCCGAACCTCGCCCTCAGGTACGAGACCGTGTTCCTCAAGGATGGTCGCGAGCTCGTAAACATGACCGACCTCCACTGCGAGCCGGACGTGACGGGGCCCTGGAATCTGTACTGCTCGGCGCCTGTGTCCTTGAGTGAATTATATTTCGCAGATGACCTGGTGCTGATGGTTTTGGCCAGGTCGGAGGACAATCTTGTTGTCGCCGCGGCTGAAGAAGAACTGTCCCTTAAGAGTAAGGCTTGGAATGACTTTTAAAACTATATGTAAAGTCTTTTTTTTACCTTAAAGCTATAGGCAACCAGTTACAGTGTCGAGATAAAGAAAGGATGGGATATCAATCGCCGAAAATATGCCTTAAAATGAGTTAAAGAAAGCACGGTGTGTTAATTGACCGAAAACATGTCTAAGAATCGTTCCTCCCTGCCAGACGTCACCGTAGACTTGCGGCAGGAGGGTCAGGAGGCACTGAGAGTAGGATGGAACCAAGAACCTGGACGAACTTACTTCGTTCAGATCTGGACGGTCCCTTCCCAAGCTCACGGAAGCGCCCCGCCCACCAACTTCGGCGACTCCCGACATCACTTCGGAAATCGCACTGAGACGCCACAAGTGGTGGAGGTTTCTGGAAATGTTCGATGCAAGAATGGCCAGTGTTTGTATTATTTCCTCGGTCTGATAGACTGCGGGGAATATGCGGTAGAGGTCCTGGATGTGACGGAAAATATTTTTCAAACTTCCAGAAGCAGAAGGCATTCTGTGGATCAGCACTGGACTGGTGAGATGAGCGAGACAACATAAGAACTCGGATGACAAACGAAATTTCACTCGCTGACATTTATATCTCGAATAGTATCAAATTAACTCAGATTCACTGCACCACATCAAACAACTTTCCAAATACCTAGAACCAATGCCAATTTTTTCTCCTCATTTTCCCTTAAATTGAACCCCAAGGTCTGACTATTGAGAGGGTCGTCATCGAGACATCATCACCCGATTCTCAGCGTCCTTTAAAGACCCTGACGACGACGGCAAGAACTGACGAAGGGCTGCTCGTGGAGGAAGGGTTCAGGGCGGTCCTCATCAACGCTCTCGATCCGAGTGACTTCCTTGAGAGTGACGAGGGAGACTGTTTGCCTTTCACGTAAGTTGTCTTTTGTCCAGGATGAAGACTGGACTTATCCATTTCATGTATGTATGTGTATGTATGTATGTATGTATATCTAGATGCTTGG